GTGTGATTTCTCGCTTTCTGTCTCTCTGTCTGGCGAGCGCACGTGCCCTATAGCAAAAACCTCTCAAAAAAAAAAAAAAATTTCTGACTTTACCATTGAACAAAACTGTAAAACCTTTAGCACGTTATTGAATGTTTCTGAGTTTCAATTTATTCATTTGTAAACTGGGGATAGTGATACTTCTTTGGCTTAGTTGCTCTAAGGATTAAAAATGATCATACATATATAAGAAATGCCTGGTACATAGCAAGTGTTTAATGAAAAAGTATTACATCTTGTAATTATTAGTTTCTCTCCTGATTTCCTTTCTTCTCAAATGAACTGAGAATTTTAAATAGAAGGGTTACAAATTTGTTACATACAAACATGAATTGTTAATATTCTTTATTTTTATCTTTATTGATTATGGATTTGGGTAAACCCCAATATTCACTGTAGGCTCACAAAAATTTTAAGAGAATGATGCCAGCAGAAACATTTCAAGCTTGGGTAAAAAGGAACAAACACAGTATAAATGTAAAATACCACTTTGGGTCCTCAAAAACTTCTATAAGGAAGCAGGCTGAGAAAAACGTGGTTACAAAGACAGGCTACCTTTGAAGAAAAGAAAAGGATGATTCCGACAGTGGCACTAAGAACGCAGACAGCAGAGCCAGGAGCCATGGAGACTGAGCAGGACTGAGTCTTCCTCCGGAACGTTTGCCTAGATGATTCCACCATTGCTCTGAACCAGTGACTCCTTTGTGTCTCCCGATTTTATCTACATTTAAAAAATTTTTTTCTAAAAATTTTTTAGAGAGGTTTTTTTTTTCCAATAGGGTACATGTGTTCACTTGAAGAGACAGAGACAGAAAGCTAGAAATCACCCCTTGGGGGGGATGGCCATGCCACAATCCCTTCTCCATTCTCCTCTGAGGATTTTGGGCACACACACACATATGTGCCCAGTGTGAGTTTTAAGCTGTTGGGTCTGAGATCTGAACCACTGCTGACTATGTGGGAGTCCAGCAAGTTACCATTATGCCATCTGCTGGTCCCAATTTTCTTTACTTTTTAACAGGAACGCCTATAGCAATTATCTTCTGCCTGTCCCATTACTGGGTATGTCGGGACAGATAGTCTTATTGTTTAAGTTCACGGGTCAATAGAATCAGAGGAAGCGTACTTAATGAACTATACCTTGAGAAGGATCATCTGCACCTGGGCTAAAGAAAATGATGAGATTCTGGATTCAAGGTAATATGGCAGTGGAATGAGACTTTGCAGGGGTGTTAGAAGGGGATAAGTAAAATATGGGGGGGGGCATATTGGGCAAATTAAAATAAATCGTGGCTAAAGAGTAGACTGTTACACTTTTAAAATAAAACTGAGGCCAGACGATAGATAATTCTCTCCTGTAAAGGTACAGCGTGGCCAGTCATCAAGGCACAGTGACAGCACATGGCTCTACAATTCTAGATCCATATAGAAAACCAAGGTTCAGTTCCCAGGTTGGCCTGTACACACCGAGCACACCCATGATCACTGCTGGCTAGAAAGGCGGGAGGATTCTAGCATGACACCCTGTTGAGAGTGCCTACCACACCCTCAGAAAAAGTACTGATTTTGAAAAGTAGAGCTTATAATTCTTCTCTTCTTCACTATGGGCCAAATTCAGTGACTCACTTCTAACTAATAAATACGGTGGAATATGATATATGGCATCTGAGATTAGGTAGTAAAAAGCATTTCAGGCTGTTCGCTCTTCGATATTTATTCTGGGAAAACACTCAAGCAGCCTTAGAGAAAGGCCCATATGGCAAAGAACTGTGGCTTTTTTTTTTTTTTTTTTGCCCGTAACTATGTGAGTGATCCATCTTAAAGGTGGCTCCTGCAGCCCCAGTCAAGCATTCAGATGATAGTAGCCCTGGCTCATGTCTTCACTGCAACTTCATGACAGAACTTGAGTAAAAAAACACTCAGCTAAGCTGCCTCTGAATTCCTGACTTACAGAAATGGCAAGATACTAAACGCTTGCTGTTTGAAGCTGCCAAGTTCTGGGGCAATTTGTTACTTAGTAGTAGATAATTAATACAGGCTGTCATGTACCGTTTCCTTTGTAGAAAATGTCTGTTCACTTCATATTCGAAAGCCACTGTTCTAAAAGATGACAGAAAGGCAACATTTATACATTTTTCCCACATTTACAAACAAGATTTAAAATTCACTACCTAAGACCCAGAAAAAAAAAATGATCCACTCACAGTTCTTTTAAATCTCAGCCTTATATCTACTCTCCGGATAGCAGGTGATCATTCTTGGAACATCAACAGGGAATAGCTGATCTATGTCTGCTCTTTACCATTATTTCATTATGTTCTCTCCAAGGCTTAAGTAAAATGGATACTTTTAAGCCAATTTACAAACAGAAATATGTAAGAAGAAAATAATTAATCTACTCAAAATTATACTGTGTTTAGTTTAATGGGGAAACTATAAAACAGAAACCCTGGCAAAGAAATGTAGCTTAGTATATATTGGGTCATTGGGAAAGTTATGACCCATTTTTGCATAGAAAAACATGTCAAGACTTTTCCAACAACCCAACATTTTATTTGAACTTTAGAGTTAGACTCGAGTGGTTCTCTCTGGGGTGCTTCCCAATATAGTCTCAATATTTACAACCTTAAACAAAATCTGAACTTCATCCCATTCTTTCAATTACTTTCTTTATATGATCTGTTACTATAATCATTTGATTAATAAGAAACTCCTTAAAAAAATGTGGAGTTCCTTTAGAAGAGGAATTAAGTCTTATTTTGATAGAAATAACTAGCATGTCCTGAAAGTATTTGTAAACATGAAAATCCAAGTTTGTATAAAATAAGGCATTCCCTTAATCACTTCTTTATCATAATATCTCTGGTTTAACTTCTTTCCATTTGGAAAAGGTTTAAGCTGGGCACTATAGTTTTTAAAAATTCCTCAAAGCTCACATTGCTTTTTAAACTTGTGTTTCAATGCTCCCATCAAGGCCACAGGTATGGGATAATTAGCCAGAGTGGAATTCCTCTTCAGCTTCACTCAACCTCTGTGGTTAAATTCACAAGGGCACAACAAAACTGATTTACCAGGGCCACTTCGGACTGCTCCATGTCTTGGTGCTTATTTTAGTATCAAAGTTAGATACCTAATGTAACCCTAACCTAGGCACCGTGTGTCAAAGTGGGCTGAACTCTGCCTTCAAGGGCCTATAATATTCATTATGCACAAAGTTATAAATTCATTTTGTATCTTGAATCAGGCTGTTTTATTTTCTATCCACTTACATAGGACCTGCACAATTCTACTGAGAATTTGTAAGAAAACTAACAAATTATTTAAATATGATTTACAAAGTCTGTAGATTGCTGCGTTGACAAAATGTTCTGTTCAAGTTGAACTTAGAATCTCCTTTAATCTAGTTTATTTGGCGTGTGTTCATATTTGTGTACCTGCATCAGGTATACTTATCATTAAGCTGCTAAATCACAACACTCAATAACACAAAACTTTAATTCTGAGTGTGAAGACACCTAAAGGAAGACAAACAGACAGGCATGGGATCTACCTGGTTTAATTCTTGGTTCAAGTCATGCCTTTCTTTTCCTTCACAGACATGCAGTCTGAATTGGGTGTCCTTACAGGCTAAATACAACCTGTTGTCCTCCTTAAATGAAGCATTATACCCAGAGAACACGCAAAGAAAATTTACAGCATCAAACACAGTATCGGGTAGTTAGTAAAGCTTTGCAAATACATAAATTAGGTATCCATTTCTCCTTTGAAAGAGAGGAAACAACTGGTCACTCCTCCTTCACCCCTACATTAAACTTGAGGGTAATTTTTGATACCTCCTACCTCATCATATCAAGGTTTCCAAAGAGGAAGGAATAGCCTAATGATTTCAACTCACAGGACTTTGCAGGATCTGAGTAACTCGTTTCCGCTGCTCCATCATATTGAAGTCTTGTCGGAGGTCAGGAGACATGTTTCTCTCCCTAAGGTACTCTGGGTCATTTTCATTGATACGGTCAAAATATCTCTCTTTGTGAGGCATGCTGGGAGGAGGAGGAGTGGTGATCACGCCTTGGCTGGCATCTGAACTCATGTTTCAAGTCTGTGGATTCTTCTTGTTATCTATATTAATAAACACAAAGAAAGGAGAACATTCATGATTAATTCATTATTCAAACTTTACACAAGAAGAACTTTTAAAATTTTACCTTTAGAGTAACAGTTCCAACTTGCGTTGGAAAAATAAAAAGTAGCTCCCCCCCAAAAATGTTAGAACGATTTCTTCTTTTTTAGTTTGACAGAGGACGTGTGCACTTGCTGGAGTGATGGAAAGTGAGAAAGCACCCTCATGGGCGATGGTCACACTGCAATCCCTCTTCCTCCAATCCCTCTTCCTCCATTTTTCCCTCCTTTCAGGGATTTTGGCAACATTTACATGTGTCCAGTGTTTTTCAAGCCTGAGCCAAGGACTCGAATCTCACAGTTGGCCATGGGGATTTAACCACCTTAACCACCATACCACTGACTGGCCCTTGGAACAAATTTCAATACAAATAAAATATCTTAGATTATAATGCTAAAACAGAAATTGGTTATTTTCAGAGCAAATGGAGGCTTATGGTTGAATCACGACAATGTCATCAACAGTCAACTGAATTTTTAAAGGAAGCACCCATCCAAATACCTGAATGCAAAATGTACCATATATTGGGTTGTTGGAAAAGTCATGACATATTTTTCTAAGTTTCTTTCTACTGAAAAATGCATCTTGAGTTCTGCGATGACCCAATAGATGGCAAATTTCATAATGGGTGACTACTACCAATGAAACTTTCCCCTTACTCATGTTTTTAGTTTAGAGCAAATTTTGGCCATATTTAATGACTACTACATTCTCTATTGAATATAATTTATACATGAGAGAAATACAACTTTAGTTTTTCACATGATTCATCAACTTCATAGGGAAAATGTAAGAACTATTGATACCAGACAATGTAATTTTAGCAGATGGTGCTTCGATTCCAAGTAAGAATCAACAAAGCTACTCAGAAGTCACATGCACAGCTACAATTCACTCAATGATCATAATTATTACTGATACTTCAGAAAGCCCTTCATTATCGTAACCAGGGAGACAGATTCACTTGGACACTGCTACAGCTGAGTACCTGACCAGCTACGGCAAGATCGGTAGGACAGCCATGACCCTTTCTGCCTCCGACCATTTGGAGGCACTGGAAGTTGATAATGTCATTTAACTCAGTGCTTTTCAAACTGTCTCTAGTGAAAGACTTTCCAACCCACTGTGGACCAATATTTTTGTAAAAGAATCAACGTACATAGATAGCACGGTTTCATAAAATGAGAGGAACAATGGATGAGTGCTGATACATTCTGTACTTGTTATAGACTGTGACAGCTGATGACTGGCTCTGGACCTGGCCCATATTTAAGAGTAACAATGACCTAACAGAGAGTTATAGCACCGACAACCAAAGGAATACTTTTTTTTTTTTTTTTTTTTGGAGAGGATTTAGCTATAGGGCAAGTGCACTCCCAAGAAACAGAAAGCAAAATATCACCCCCAAGAGGGATGGCCACGCCACAATCCCTTCTTCTCCATTCTCCTCTCGGGATCTTGGGCATGTATGCACACGTGCCCGGCGTGAGTTTAAGCCACCGGGTCTGGGACTCAAACCGTGGTCAACTACATGGGAGTCCAGCGACATAGCCATTATGCCAAGTACTGGGCCCCCAGAATATCTTAATCAAGAAAAAGGGAAACCGTGATCAGTGTATCCCTTTCTTTAGTTCTTTTGAACTGGGTGTAGAAAACGTAGGCAAACAGGAAGAAGAAAACAAAACAGGAGCTGTGGAGCACAAAACTCTGCAAGGCTTGCCCGTGTGGGTTTGTATCTGAGACTGCTGGCACACGCATGCCCAGGATCCAGAGGTGGCTGAGGCTGGGGTCGGTTTGCAGCACTGGGACTCGAGTGGGGAGGCTCTCTTTTTGTCTGTCTCTGCTTATAGAAGAAAGAAACAAACTTAAGGGAAAAAAATGACTAAGAAGAAAAGGAAACAGACAAAGGAAACTGTAAGGATGGTTTTTGTTTAAAACAAGTTTCTCTAGAGATGACTTCAACTCAAATGCAGCCTGTTTAATATAAACGATCAACTGCAAACAGGTGCTCATTCTCAACCGATTATTTGCCTGGTAGGAAGAAATATTTCATTAAAAAGGGTGGGTAAATGTGAAATATTAAAGTATTCTTTTCCTTTTTTTTTTTCCATTTTAGTTACAAAACCTAAGTGTGTTTCTGTGATCTGCCACTCTGCAGATTCTCCAGAACCTGGGAGTCCCAGCAGAACACTGTGTCTTGACTCCTTGATAATGCCAGAATATCTGGTCTCATCTTTAAAATAAAATACAGGAACAACCAACTAGGTTACTATTTTTGTCTCTAATAATAAAATTCTGATAGAACATGGAAGTTCAGAGAACTGATTACTTTGGCCCAATTAACTCAAGCAAACTAATTATAAGAGTTTTTAAAAATGAAAAAAAAAAACTTGCATTATTCATTCAGGTCACTGAAATGTAAATTCATTCTGTCAAAAATAATTTCCATAAGGGAACCAGCAGTTGGCGTAATGGCTATGTCGCTGGACTCCCACGTAGTCGACCGCGGTTCGTGTCCCGGACCCGGTGGCTTAAAACTCACGCTGGGCGCGTGTGCGTGCGTGCCCTAGATCCCGAGAGGAGAATGGAGGAGAAGGGATTGCGGCGAGACCATCCCCCCTGGGGGGTGATTTCTCGCTTTCTGTCTCTATGTCTCTGTCTGGTGAGCGCACGCGCCCTACAGTGAAAATCTCTCCAAAAAAATAATAATAATAATTTCCATAAAACGTATTAAAACTATTTTATTCCACTTGCCAACATCAGTCTCATACACAGCATCCTATATAGTTACCTAAATTAGAGTACTACTCAAAAACATCCATGCAACGATTTTAAACACTAAGTCATTTCATGTTAATGAGATTCTAGACTTGTGACTAGAAAATAACTAAACAGTGAAGGAAATGTGAAAATTTAGCTTTTATATAGTTGAGTTTTCCATAATCTTAATCCATAATAAACTGGGAGAAGACACTCAGCTAAAGAGTAAATATTTGATAATTAAATTTGTTCTTCACAGGAAAAATGGCTAATTTTCTTTCCCCATTCTCTTCTTTTGCTTAATACAATGTCCATCATTTTTGGAATAACTGTTCATATTATATTTTCAAAAAATCAAGTTTTGCTATGCTGTTTTTAGCTTGGCTTACTAACCTTTGATATTTACCATCATTTTGCTATCATTCGAAAACACAGTGCACAGAGAACTAACTGTAAGAAACATTCCTTTTGGGCCAGCAGGTGACACAGTGGTTGGAATGCTGGAGTCCCATATGGCCAACTGGAGTTTAAATCCTGGACCAAGTGACTTGAAAATCACGCCAGGTATGTGTGCATGCATGCCTGAAATCCCAAGAGGAGAGTAGAGGAGAAGGGACTGCAGCATGGCCATCTCTCTGGGGAGTAATTTCTGACTTGCCCTCTCTCTCTCCACCAAGTACATGTGCCCCACAGCAAAAACCTTAAAAAGGAAAAAAGTAACTTTTCTTTTCTCATACCCAGTGATATTAACAGAAGTCTAGAGACCTAACCAATCTTTGGAAACTAATTTTCTTAAAAGCTGTTTATAATAGATCCACTTGAGCTTCTTAGAGCAGTTTATTGCTAGCAGATATACATTCAAAGAACTAAACTTAAAACAAACTCATATGTATTAGTAAATATAATTTAATGGCCAAATACTGACTAAATGGCACTTAATATTAACTGGGACATTATTTAAGAAAGAAATCAATTCTCTTTTAGGTTATCATAGTAAGCAATTGGCTTATGTAATTTTTTAAAAGGCAGATAAGAGAGGCCGGGAGGTGGCATGGTGGCTAAGGCACTGGACTCCCACATGGCTAATCATGGTTCAAGTCCTAGACCTGGCAGGTTGCTTTCTCACTTTGCCTCTCGCTCTCTGGTCAAATTTAAAAAATAATAATAGGGTAGCTTACCCAGAAAAAAATGATGAACTTAACTAAAAGATGGGAAAATGAGCTGAATAAACAACTCCCTAAGGAAGACATATGAACAGCCAAAAAGCATATGAAAAAATGCTCAACATCCCTCATCATAAGGGAGATGCAGATCAAAACCACAATGAGATACCACCTAACCCCAGTCAGAATGGCGAAAATTAATAAAAAGGTAAGTGCTGGAGAGGATGTGGTGAAAGGGGAACACTCCTAGGTTGTTGATGGGAATGTAAATTGGTCCAGTCACTGTGGAGAACAATATGGAGGTTCCTCAAAGACCTTCAAATAGATCTACCATATGATCCAGCAATTCCACTCCTGGGTATCTATCCAAAGGACAGGAGAACGTTCAGTCGGAAAAGTGCTTGCACAACTACATATTATTGCAGCATTATTCACAATTGCTAAGACATGGAACCAACCCAAATGTTCACAAATGGATAAATGAATGGATTGAAAAGGTGAGGCACATATACTCCATGGAATATTATTCAGCCATACAAAAACAAGGCCCTAGAATTTGATAGAAAGTGGATGAACATAGAAGATTTGTTGCTGAGTGAAGCAAGTCAGGCTATGAAAGAGAGACATTGTATGTCTCCACTTAACATATACCGACTGTCCACACTCTATGGTAGAGACTGAAAGACTGGAGGACATAAAAGCATTAAAAATTGTTACAGATACTAGAGACAAAGTGGAAGGATACCGTGGGAGGGGAAGAGTGCAGGAAAGGAAATTTGGGCAAAAAAAGAGAGGTAAGATCATGTGGAGAAGAGAGGTACGATCATGGAGGAAGGGGTGATTTCTCACTTAGTCTCTCTCTCTCATACATGCCCTATGGCAAAAACAAAAACAAACAAACAAAATACTACTCAGCCTGTATTTTGAAGAACAGAATTAGATGTTTGCTTCTAACTGAATTTGCAGAACTTCATGAAATCATTAAAACACAGCAAAGAGTAAGAAACGCTGGTGAT